TTGTAGTTTTTGTAATAGATTTGCTTTAAAGCTATTCTATTGAAACTGATTATCATACCGCAAATGAACAGACGTAACTCTTTCTGCTCCAATTTAAATACTATTGATTGCGCGAATCCCCCACCACAGCGCTGGCATCGGATCACTTTAAAGTTTCTATACATTCTACCGAACTTGTATTCAAGATTGTTTGAGACTTGGCAAGTAAGTTTTTTCCACGAATAGCTCGTGAGATGTCGTTAGTGATAACCTCGGTGATGACGATATATTTAAGGAAAATTAATTTAAATAGTTACGTTTGTTTGTCTGTGGTCATACCTTAAAAACGTTGTGGCACGTAAGTTGTTTTTTTTCTACACCAAAATATCAAATTTTATGTGTCTTGAATCACCTGGAAATTTTACGTTGAAGTCCTGGAAAAACCTGGAAACTCATGGAATTCTTTTTAGCAAAATGAGTAGACGTATTATAATGATTGTAGCAACAAGAAGAATATTTTGAGGATGCAGATGAAAGAATTCTTGTATTGTTTCGTGAACTAAATTACAAAAACTAAGAGAAAGATGCAGTATTAGAAGAATTAGAAACCGAATACAGCTTTAAGACTAGTTTACAGTTCAAAGCGAAGTGAAATTTAAAGCAAGTGAAAAATCTTGAAATTTCGCATGTTATGAAAAAAATGTTGTGGAGCATTTACCAATTTTTCTTTTCGTAGTTCACAGTTCACGTGAAATGAAATCGATTAGTTCAGGTGTAACATTTGATAACGGCACAAAAGCTTTTGTAAACATAAGTTGTAAGGCCCCTTACACGCGAACCGAAGAACGCCCACGTAAACCAACAACATCATCGGGTGGGGTAAACGTCAACTTTTTGCTTATCTGCTGTTTTTTTCACGACCAGCTGCATGCTTGAAAAACGTAATCGTAAGCGAAAAAGATGCGATCCACAATATTCAATTTCACTGGATCGTATCTGTTTACAGTTCCAAGCTATGTGTCTATTACATTTTTCACGCTGGTGAAAAATCGAATATTGTATATGGGAATTTCACTTCGCTTCGATCTCTATGCAGACCTTGAAGCGGAAAATTGTTTACAATGCGTGTGCTTATTAATTTCATGAGCAGTGTGTGCTGTCATTCCCACTGATGAATACTGCACATTGTAGTCGAAATACGTATCTGTCATGTATAATTAATTAAGTGGAATTAAATGGAAGGTAACCTTTTTTGCTGTTTTATTTGCTTAATGGTTTTAAAATCAAACCTCATCTCGAAGCATATCCCGTAAAAAAAGAACCGTAGAAGTACAATGAAATGTATTGTAACCATACAATAGAATTTATTGTATTTACAATAAATTGTATTATCCACAACGTTAAACAATTATAGAATTAATTGTTTCCACAATAGAATCTATGGTAAATGGAGAAATCTACCATAGAACAAGGGGGCCCTAATAAAAAATAACCATAAACGAACGATAACCCAAATCATTGAACTATTCCACAAATGGTTTGGATGATACCCAGAACACGTCGTTAAGCAAATTAACCATACACTTTTTATTAGGGGGTTGTTATGTATCTTAACCGTACAAAATATCACTTTTTCGCGAACAAACATGAGCCATTTACCATTAATAGTAATTGTTTTTCTATTGTTAAAAATTCATACTACATGGGACGTATTGTAGGGACCTCCCTTAGCTCAGTCGGTAAAGGCGCAGCTACAAAGCAAGACCATGCTGGAGGTGGCTGGGTTCGATTCCCGGTCCGGTCTAGGAATTTTTCGGGTTGGAAAATTTCTCGACTTCCCTGGGCATAGGTGGCAAAAATGGTACAGGCATCGAAAGCTCTCAATGAATAACTATGGAAGTGCATCTAGAACACTAATGGTGGTAAGCTCCAACCGGTATTATCCTCGGATTAAATCCCGATCAAGAATGTCCGGCTGGTTTGATGTCGACATCAGAGTTAATCAACATAATTCTGAGCAAACATTTTTCAGATCATACAAACAGGGACGGTATTAAAAGTTAATCCGAGTTGGAGCTTACCGCCATAAGTTGAGAGCACGCAATAAGCTAATATGCGATATGCAATAAGCTTGAAATGCGAAGAAGAAGAAGAAGGGAAGTATTGTAGACCTATTGTAATAATAATATTTTAAATTTACTTGTATGATATACGCCCCATAAACTTAACCATAAGAAGCGCCTAATCACCAATTCGGATGATAACCTTTATGTGGTATGGTCGTACCATCTATGATATCGTTGGTGTGTGGTACTCGTTTATTAGGGCGTACACTCAAAAAATATTGAAATCTAAATAGTATAAAAGTTACGCTAAATCGCAACTCTCCGTACCGACGCAAAGGTCGGTATAAAGTGAGAGAATGCAAACTTAGTATAAAAATGGTTTATGCGTGCCATAGTATAAAATCGAAATATACATACAATGAATAGATACGGTTTATTCAAGAGAATGTATGTTTCGCTTCTTTATTTTATTTATTGTAAATATTATTGTTTTCAAATTAAAATTAAAATTGTCTCAGGAGGGGTTTTGAATAATTTTATTTTTATGAATATTATTTAAAAAATACTTACCATTTCGATGTTTATTATGATGAACTCGTGCTCACGCATGCTAGCTGCCCAGCAGATTACAGGCGCAGTACCCGAAAAAAAATAACAACAAAAATACATTAAAAAACAATGTAACAATAAGACGAAAATTATTGTCTTAACAATGATTTATATTGTTACGTCTACAATAAAATTACCTTGATTTATGTTGTACAAAACAATAAATTTCATGGTAAATGGAAAATTTACAATAAAAAAGGGGGGTTGTTAAGTATCTTAACAATGAAATTTTCGTGATTTTCCCATATATTTTTTTTTTTCAATAACATTATATATTATTGTAATTTTACTGTTGGTTGGCGAATTTATTGATTAAAAAAAATAAAAGTGTACTTTAGAGTGTATGTGTTGGCTTGACAGATCTACTTTATCGACTTTAAAAATAAATCGAAAAAATAAAACATTGCCCCGAGAAGGGAAGGGGGTGGTATGTCTGTTACGGGTGGTCCTTTTTTTACTGGTTATGGATCGAGATTCGATCCGGAGCTTGTGAGAAATGCAGGCCAACTCCCCTGCGCTCGATATCCCTAGGTCACGTCTCCTTGGTGGTTGAGCGTCGTTGATAAGTTAATGCACTCGACTGGAGAGAATCGCCTATGAAATATGCTTCCACCTGAGAGTTCCTTCCTGACATCTTCAAGTGGTGGAATTTTTTATTATTATTGTATGATTATTGACTGCACGGAAAAGGTCTCCATTAAGCTTTAGAGAGGGTCTAGGATAAGATATGAGCGGACGCGGACTGCCTGGTTTTGAGCCAAACGAACTGTCAAAGCTAGAGCCATACGAGCAGCGCCTATCTTAATTACATTGGCAGTGTTGCTGACCCTCTCATAGTCTGCATGCTTCAATCAGATTTATTTTTATTGTTCGTGAAGTAACCCACAATGAAAATACACCAATATTTAATGTAACAACAATTTTTATTGTAATAGAGTTGTTCGTTATTGTTCATGATCGGATCATGTTAACAATAAAATAAATGAAAAATACGATAAAAATCATTGTAACAGCATTTTATTATGTACATTCATTGTACAGCTAGGTAGCAGTTTTGCCGTTTTCGGAAGAGTACAACATTATAACAATCATTTTTATTGTCGACAATAAATATTAATGTTAGAGCATTGTTTCCACTGAAAATTTCACTGTAATTTTTTTTTCGGGTAGTAATCAACCGGGATGAAGCTCTTCACCAGCACGAAGCTCCGAAGAGAACCCAGATGTTCTTTTTCCCATCATTTTAGTAAACACTGATCGAATTCCACTCCGTTATTCGGACTTAGTATAATTTTGACGAAAATTTTAATCTTACCAATGTACACACCAAAAAAAGTTGTTGAATATTACATCGAAACTGCTGCAACCAGGTCAATCCATCGGTTGTGTAATATCACATTGTACGATGTACATCGATTTTGCGAACAAAATTACATCCATTGATGTAATATTGTATCTGCTTTTTGCTATTACATCATTATTTCATACAGCAGCTTGCATTACGTTGATCGATATTACATTTTTTTTTTGCTGTGTATAAATTTTGAAAAACCATAAAATGCATACAATTTAATCTATATTCGTTTTGTAATATTTTTGAGTGTACAAAAGTATCGATTGTTGGCAATGAATTATGTTGTGATTGTATTTTATGTTATGGTCATTGACGAGTGCACGGATGGATTTGAGTTCACTCACTCGACAAAAAGTGACACAACAGCGGGGCCCTGTTTACTAAAAATGAACACATATGTGTTCATTTTTAGTAAACAGGGCCCCGCATTTGTGTCACTTTTTGTCGAGTGAGTGAACTCAAATCCATCCGTGCACTCGTCAATTAGGTACTGCAGTGTGACGTCACAAATGAACTTAGTGTTAGCCGGCTGAACCTTTTTGACAGTTCAGTGGTACTGTTTACAAGCACTTAGTCGTATTTTCAAAAAAAAAATTTCTAAAATTTCCGAATTTTAACTTGAAAATTGTCGAGGAACAGCGCGATGAAAGGATGTTGCTCGCGGACATTGCAGAAGTGTGGTTTGCATCTCACTGCAGTCTGAAAAATTATCGAGAAAATCCACCCAAGAAAAAATCGACTAAGTCCACGTAAACAGTACCACTGAACTGTCATCAGATTGAGGTTAACCCCGACGGTGCAAAACCTAATGGTCATTGTGCGGGTATTTTTTTTTGGATATGCGCAGGCAGCCGTAACCGTTCCATTCCGTTCCTTCTTCATCAGGCGTTACGACTCGATATATGTTCGCGTTATTCCGCATCTCTTCTGTCAAAAAGAAGCCAAAAAAATTCCTTCTCTGCTCTGTTTACATCCTCTTATTTTGTGTTTGTTTCTCCATTTTTAGTTCGAAGCCATTTTTTGCTCTTAGTTTACATTTTATACTCGTTTTGAATTAATCTCTTGCCTGCCGGTAACTTTATTACTCGGGTCATGGCGTCCAGTACCAATCAAGAAAAAGACGATTCTCTAAAACTCCGAATGGTCCCTAGAGGACTGCAAAAGCTAATAGAACAATGTCTGAAAATCTATCCCGATCAAACGAATCCGTTGCAGGTTACAACCGTTCTGAAATACTGGTATGTACATTCAATTTAATGATTGACCCTATTTGGTGAGGATGTCCTGAACAAACAGTTCCTTTCTAGGCTCGGTGGACAAGACCCGCTGGACTACATCAGTATGTATCACAATGCGGGCGACCAGGACAAGAACATTCCTCCACATTGGCATTACATTAGTTTCGGACTGTCGGATTTACACGGTGATGGAAGGGTTCATCTGCCGGACACCATTGGAGGGCTGGAACCTCGATCTGGAATGGGTTTTGAGCTGACATTTCGACTAGTAAAACCTGCAGACAGTACCGATGAAAAACCACCTACTTGGCCGGCAAATCTTCTGCAGGCCCTGGCCAAATACGTCTTCCAATCGGGTAATAGACTTTGCTTTGGTGACAACATCCCTTGGCGTAGATCTCTGGATGGCAAAACGTCCAGTGTACAGCACATGCTGATCGCGGAAGATCCTCAGATGTCTCGTACCGAGACTCCCTTCGGTTGGGTAGACTTTCTGCAAATAGTCGGCGTAACCAATGAAGAGTTGGAGCAAGCTTCCCGTTGGAATGGGAAAGGTATCCTGAATCTTCTTCAAAAAGATCCTACAACCGGAGGACCCTGGCTCATCACGGACATGGCTCGATCAAAAAGCGTGTTCGAACTTTTCCCCGAAACTCTCCGCCAGTTGGAAATCGACCTCGAGAAAGAAGGCTCCGACCTTGCCGGTGTCAACGCAGATTTCACCTTCAAAGAACTTCCCAAAATGATTATCAAAAAAGAAATCCTCGATCCAGAGGAAGAAATCACCAAAAGCATCTCCTCGTGTAACATCGAGATCAAGAAAGAGTTCAACGATGGTCTCGAACATTCCGGATCGTCTGATATGGTAAACCCATTCCACCACTCGCAGGTACCGTCGAGAGTTTCGCCCTTAAATGGCATCGAACTCACCCTAGCACCCTACGCTGCCAAATTCCTAGTGCTCGCCATCAAAGATCGAATTCGTAATGGGCGTCATTTTACCTTCAAAGCTCAGAACATGGCCGTTACCTTTGTAGCCGAATCGGTTACCGGAGCCATCGTCGATAAGGAAACGCCTTACGGCGTTTTGGGGTATTGGGTTCAGATCTTAATCCCAAACTCGCTGATTCCTAGGATGCTGGATGCGTTTGGAGACTTAAGCAAAAGTGCGGACAATTTGAAAATCCCATTGACATACGAGTGGCCGGAGCATAATTTGAAATTCGTCATCGACAACCCACCTCCGGAGCTACTTAATCAACAGGGGCCGATTTTGGCATGACCTGGTGACTAGGAGAGATTTTGGACCGTTCGTAGTTGTGTCATGGGGCTCACAATCGTCGAATTCGTCACATATTGAACATTTCTTCCATTTTGATAGTATTGTCATAGGCTAACTTCATAACACTTAGTTTTATTGTAGAAGGAATCTCAAGTGCCTCAAATTCTCTTTAATAAAAATATACATACGCCGACGCGTAATTAGTGTAGAATGCATTTCATTTTTTTAAATTAGAAAATCCGGGCAGTAAGCCGCCCAAGTAACCAACAAGCCAGCTAATTCGCCTTTTTTCAATATACATACAATCGGTCCATAGCGCTAATACTTGGGCATTCAGAGAATGTTATGCCCCATTGCCACTGAAATCTTCTTATCAGGGCCGAAGATTCCTGCTCCAGAAACTTGACGAACAATAGGACTTCCGACATCCCAATCTATTTCTATACACGTCTCGTATCTGTACTGCCTATAATCGCATATCAGTCCCATGTGGATTTTCGACAATTTAAAGATAACATCGTTATCCACTATCAATTGGCATCTACTTTCATATTGCGTGATAAAACTACGCACTTTGATTTTGATCATGAAAAAAACATCAAGTCAGTTTATCCCATTAAGCGAAGTAATCGCTTTTCAGTCTCATCCTGAAATTCGATGGTCCAGAGGTCAAAGTTAGAGTTCTGGGGCCGCATTGCGCATCTTGAAACGAAAAACTTTTTCATACAAGCGTTCGTACAAAATGTCTTTCGTTTCGAGATGCGCAATGTGCCTCCTATTATTGGATCGCCACACGGCCAATGAGAACGACCCAAATTTGAGTTTAGTTCACTCATAATCGCCAAAAGTGCAGGAACTCAGCGATGAGTAGAATTTGTCTCATGGTTTCCTGTGGAAAACCTAAAAAATCTGCCGGAAAATGAGGAAATTGACGAAAATTTTATTCAGTCTCGGAGACGTAGACTGAGTGAATCCAATCTTTACTTTTCTCAAATTCGGGAATTTTTCCCTGGAAAATCCTGGAAAAACCAGGGAAAACATGAGGCAAAATTACTCATTTTTTTTATCTAGTTCGTTTATTTGGAAGGCTCAATCGCGTTAGCTTTACGGAGCGGATAATTCATTGTTCACTGTGTGTAACAAAATTCACTTAATTCTATGTCTAGTAGGAGTTGGGCCGATTACTCGCGGCTTACTCGAGGTTAGAAGGGTACATTTTCGAAGGATAGGATCAGGGGAGGAGCTTGGGGTAGGGTTTCGTTGTCTCATCAGAGCGTTGTCGCCAGTATGAACGGTAGTGCTGTTCTAGCTTCGTCCGGAGTTCGACCGGCTATGGTGGGTGACCAGTGGGCGACGATGAGACTCATCGAGACGGGGGGACAAGACAAACAAAAACTAATAAAGAGAGACAAAAGACAAAAGGAATTAAATTCTTATACTAGACATTTGAAGAAAAACATAAACGGACTGCATATAGCAGAGATCACGGGTTGCCAACACGTCTCTGATAGGAACATAGGGTTGTCTTCCTTGGGCCTCGAGGGTATTCAAAAGTCGCTCTCTGGCGGCGTCATTATCCGTACATTGCCAAACTCAAATTTACTCATCGCTGAGTTCTTGAACTTTTGGCGATTATGAGTGAACTAAACTCAAATTTGGGTCGTTCTCATTCGCCGTGCATATTTTTCGCTGATACCACCCGCACTAATGCCAACAATCAATACGAAACTAACGATTTTAAATTGGCTCACCACTTTAGTAGCCAATTGGTCCCAAGCAAACGATTAACGTACCCTATTCTAGTTGAAATTCTATTACTACACTATGTTTGTTTTGATTCGCTATGAAAGTTTGACAGATAACATCAGGGGTGTGTGGATTCATGCAAAACATGCAGGGGTGAGTGAAATAGCTTGGGACTGCTTGGGACCGTTGTTCTGGTACTGAGTGAGCCAAAAATAATAATGATTTTCTTCGGGACCCAGTGGTCTTAGAGTTACCTCTATGCTAATGCGTTCCCTAATAAACAAAAACCATAAACGAACAATAACCCAAATAGTTGAACTTTTCCACAAATGGTTTGAATGATACCCCAAACACGTCGTTAAGCAAAATAACCATAACAAATTTATTAGGGTTGCTAAAGCTATTTTAGCAACCTTCACCAGCGCAGCAACCGCACCGGGGTTACTATTCAAAGTGTGGGAAATAACAATTTACCCCTTCTTCTTCTTCTTCTTCTTCTTCTTCTTCTTCTTCTTCTTCTTCTTTTCTTCATTCCTTTTTTTGTGTTGTCCTTATTTTGGATGGCTAAGACCATTCCTTTTTTCAACGTCGGTCTCTGTTCTGCAATCTAGCGCCAATCACCGACGGACATCGATTGTCATTCATTGACGACAATCGAATGTGCAGGAAGGCAGCTTCCACACCTGCGTAGGTCCACATTCATCAACACACATGGGCCGGGACCAACGGACCGAAGGAAGACGTGACCAGAGATGTTTATGCCTCAGAAAAATCCCACCGACCTCGGCTGGTATTGAACCCAGACCCATTGGGGTGAAAAAGCAGTCACGCTTGCCATTACACCACCTGCGCCGGAACAACTTGCAACTGACCCAAGCGTTGCTATTTGTGAAATGTCATTTTTATTTTTAACTGGCTGAGTGTGCTCGGCCTTGCTTGGGATTCAATATTAGCTTGAGTTTATGAGCCGATTTAAAAAGCACCTTTCCTGGCCCCAAAAACCCCTGCATATAAATTTTTACGCCGATTGGTTTAGTAGTTTCCGAGTCTATAATAAGGGTCAGACTGACAGAAATTCATTTATATATATAGGGGAAATGGCTCTAATGTTGGCCTATGAATCTAAGATTGGGCCTATCGCTAAAAATCTGATATTTATCAATTTTATCTAGATGAACGCGTTATTGGGACGGTACTAATGGATATTTTTGGTCGCTATTGAAAATTAAGTAGATTACTGAATTTATGTATGGGCCCAAATTAGGGGCATTTAGGACGACATTACCAACAATCAATACGAAACTAACGATTTTAAATTGGCTCACCACTTTAGTAGCCTATTGGTCCCAAGCAAACGATTAACGTACCCTATTCTAGTTGAAATTCTATTACTACACTATGTTTGTTTTGATTCGCTATGAAAGTTTGACAGATAACATCAGGGGTGTGTGGATTCATGCAGAACATGCAGGGGTGAGTGAAATAGCTTGGGACTGCTTGGGACCGTTGTTCTGGTACTGAGTGAGCCAAAAATAATAATGATTTTCTTCGGGACCCAGTGGTCTTAGAGTTACCTCTATGACATTACATCCATTTCCCCTAAAAAGCCTGAATTTGTAAAGAGACGACATCTTATCCATTTGACAGGTCTTCTGCTCGATTGGAATGACTTTTCTTATGATTTTGACAGACAATCGATTGTTCCAATTTTGACATGTTGCCTCTTTATAAATTTAGGCTCTTCAATTTCCCCTATATATTTAGATATATATTTGAAAATTGTTAAAAATAACTTGCAATGCTGATACATGAATGAGTTTGAATCTAAAAACGAAATTTAGACCACAGGAACAGCGGAAGACCCCGGAACATCCGTCAAAGTGGTCAATCTAAAGATAACTTTTGAAACAACTTGTTGTGATGTTGCATGAATGAATTTTGAAAAACATCATCATCATTATCACTGATACTAATTACACAGGCAAACAGACATAACACATTGTATATTTGTCACTGTAAAACATGGTCGCTAAAACATTACCGCCATCTGTTGAGTACACTGTGGTGGGTAGTACCAACAATCAATACGAAACTAACGATTTTAAATTTGAAAATAAGAAAATCCATGAAGCCCTATTTTTATCTGTCAAACTTTCGTAGTGAATCAAAACAAACATAGTGTAGTACTAGAATTTCGACTAGAATGGGATACGTTAATCGTTTGATTGGGACCAATAGGCCAGTCAAGTAGTGAGCCAATTTAAAATCATTATTTTCGAATTGATTGTTGGTAGTACCAACAATCAATTCGAAACTAACGATTTTAAATTGGCTCACTAGCCTATCGGTACCAAGCAAATCGATTAACGTATCCCATTCTAGTATAAATTCCAGTACTACACTATGTTTGTTTTGATTCGCTATGAAAGTTTGACTGATAAAATGAGGGGTTCGTGGATTTCCCTATGTTTCGAGGGGTGCATTGATTAGCTTGGGACCGAAGATAGTACCAGAGCTGAGCCAAAAATTTGAGCACATTTCTTTTGGACCTACTAGCATAGAGGTAACTCTAATGGCGGTAAGCTACAACCGGTATGATCGTCGATTTAAATCCTGATAAAGAATGTCCAGATGCGTTCATGTCGACATTAGAAGTAATCAACACGACTTTAGGCATACATTTGGCAGATCATTCAAACAGGGTCGGTATTAAAAGTTGATCCGGGATGGAGCTTACCGCCATAAGACCACTGGGTCCCGAAGAAAATCATTATTATTTTTGGCTCACTCAGTACCAGAACAACGGTGCCAAGCAGTCCCAAGCTATTTCACTCACCCCTGCATGTTCTGCATGAATCCACACACCCCTGATGTTATCTGTCAAACTTTCATAGCGAATCAAAACAAACATAGTGTAGTAATAGAATTTCAACTAGAATAGGGTACGTTAATCGTTTGCTTGGGACCAATAGGCTACTAAAGTGGTGAGCCAATTTAAAATCGTTAGTTTCGTATTGATTGTTGGTATTAGAGTTATCTCTATGGTAGTAGCACAAACGAAGTGACAGACGGAGCGGCTCGAAAACTTTGGTGACTAACTTGCTATTGCAATTTTTCAGTGTACCACATGGCAACACCACTACCATAGAGGTAACTCTAAGACCAGAAGGTCCCGAAGAAACGTGCTCAACTTTTTGGCTCAGCTCTGGTACTCTCTTCGGTCCCAAGCTAATCGATTCACCCCTCGAAACATAGGAAAAACCAATAACCCCTCATTTTATCTGTCAAACTTTCATAGCGAATCAAAACAAACATTGCGTAGTACTAGAATTTCGACTAGAATGGGGCACGTTAATCGTTTGCTTGGGACCAATAGGCTAGTCAAGTAGTGAGCCAATTTAAAATCGTTAGTTTCGTATTGATTGTTGCCACTACTACTGGATTGTACCACATGGCA